AATTAAAATAATAATAATTATTAGGGATGCACAGATACCAATACTTGTATCAGTGCCGTTACTGAGTATTTGGGCAAGTACAAGTATGCTCCGATACTTAGCCCCAATACCGGAACTTCCAGTCAGAGGGAAATTTCCTCTGATCGGCAGTGCTGAGAGGGAACATAGAGTCGGATTTTCAGCCAATCAGGAAGCTAGGTGGCGGGTAATGACCCACCTCCGGCTTCCTGATTGGCTGAGAAGCTGGCTCCATGCTGTGTAGACCACTCCATGCTGATTGGCTGGGAAGCCAGCATCCTGGCCAATCAGCATGGAGCCAGCCTCCCGGGCAATCAAGAAGCTGGGCTGCGGGTAATGACAAGCCGCCCACCTTCCTGATTGGCCGGGTAGCAGACTCCATGCTGGAAGAAGTAGCGGTAAGTACCAAAAGATAAATATCACTAATGGTACTCAATACCGTAAAAAAAACCCGGAGATTTCCTCTGATCGACAGTGCCGCAAGGGAATATGGAGCCAGCTTCCCAGCCATTCAGAAAGACGGGCTGCGGGTAATGACTCTCCAGCTTCCTGAATGGCCAGGAAGCTGGCTACATGCTGTTTAGCCAGCTGCCTTCCCAGCCAATCAGCATTGAGCCGGACAATCAAGAACTCGATATCGGTGTGTACCGAAAGATAAATATCGGTACTCGTACTCGATACCTGAAAAAACTGTATCATTGCATTCCTAATAATAATAATAATTATGTGACTCAAAACAATGCAAACAGCAAAACAGACATTCAAAATATTATCCACAATTACCTCAAAAAGAGTCCATGAAATATGTAGGCAACTAGAAAACTCAGTTGTATTGAGCTATATGAATTTTAAGGCAGTCAGTCCTCTGTGATAAGTAAAGCAAAGGGAAACAAACTCTTGTACTCTGCCCCTAACAAGCATGACTGGCGCAAAGTGCAAAGATCTAAATATATCTGAATTTTGTTTCATTTTTGTGTACATAAATTGTTGCTAATGGCGGACTGGATGATTCAGGGAGATTGTGGCTGCTTCTTAGGGGCTCTTTTGCTGTTTATTAAAATAGCTGATAATATTGAAAGAAAAATAGACCAAAAATTTAGGATATATATATATATATATACACATTCTTGTATTGAATATGGGGACTCTTTGCTTTGCCTTCTGTTTTGTCTTTTGTCTTTCTGTTTTGCTGTGACAGACCCCAACCCCCAAATGGGCCCACACCTATCCAAACATGGTCACGTTCAGATATAGATAATTTTGGGCACAACAAGGTGCTGCGTTTGAGTAAAACAGCTCACGCCATGGACAAAGATTTACCCAGTCTGGGGAAGGGTTAATTTTAAAGACTTAAGTTATCTCCAGACATAGATTTTATAACTAAAATACAGATCTTATAACTAAAATATAACTAGATGCAGAGATAATTGAGATAGCCATGAAAGAGTAGACTTGCTTGCAATTTTGAGAAATGTGCATTTTATCTGAAAAGTGTGCAATGTCCAACAAAGAAATTATATAGTTACCCAAGTCCTGCATTACTGTGTTCTGGGTTTGATTCCCATAAGGAAAACTGTCACCATTCCCCATACAGGGAGGTAAAATGGTATCTGACAAAACAGGTAAAAAATGAAGTAAACGATACTCTTAAAAGCACACCCTTAGACCCTTCTCTGCTTATTAAGCTGTGTGTGAGTAACTAATTAATCACTACAGAATGTCTCCCATCTGAATGTTGTACCTCTAGAATGGTGGCTTCTATTTTCCACAATCCACACCCATCTATATCTCTATTGTGCACACCCCTTATTGTTCTTCATGTCTGTCTCCACACCCTGCACAATCATGGTTGTCCACACAACAAGCACCAAACATTTTTGGCACAATGCTGACTTCATCCTATATTCACGCATGCCTTTACACATCTTTCAATCATAAAAGACAATGTTCTGTATTCCATGAACTCACTCATGTGATTTACTACAGTGTGAAATTCAGACTAATGGACTGCGAGAGATTATGATCTAGACAGGAACCTATTGTTCATGTTGACCCAGGTATAGCATTTACTACAGAATCACATAACCCAGAGTGGTTAGTTTCAATGAGTCTCGTAAATACCTCTTAAACAGATAACTCTTCTGCAACATTCATGCACATATTCAGTAAGATAACCAACAATATAAAAAATGCACTAACCTGAGAAGTTAATCAAAGTGCTCTCTATTATCTGATTTTTATAAAAAGAAATTAAATGATCCCTTAAGGGTACTTGCATTTATTTGCTCCACTTAATTAAATGAAACCAAATAGTGTTTGAGCCCCAATTCTAACAAAAGTTCAATTTATGTATTTTGCTAGAGGAAATGTCTTTCCAGTCTCATTTCCTGGCTCGAGGTCATCCAGCATCATCTAATACTTTCCTCTCCTGCCTGATGGTCCATCTAGATTGCTACTTAAAAGGAAATAGCAGGGATGTGGAAAAAATCAACATAATTGTTAAAGACTCTCTGAAAAAATCCTAAATCTGAGGACACTGGTGGGTGTGGAGGCAACATGACCGGAGAAGAGGTTCAGAAGACCAGGGCAATGGGTCTGTGGGGGGGTAGGAATCTTTTTCTTGGGGATAAACACTGTTCCTTACATGGTAGGGCCCAATTTCAGTGGGCTAAAGAAAGTGTACCCCGCAGTGTCCCACATTAATCAGTTTCCTTTGTGGAATTTGGCACTTGGTCCCATGGTACCACAGAACCGCAAAGGATGTTGGTGCTGGAGACTTCTGTCTGCCAAACACTGTTGATACAAGTCTGAATGGGAAACGTAGCTTTATAAAGTCCAGCATCTGTCATACACTGTAAGTGCCACCTGATCATTGTCTGGATAGTGAAGCATCTCCTTTAAGGGCCACCAACCCAACATATCTTATTAATCTTGTCCATGGGCAAATGCTCCCTTGACTGCCAGCCTAGAGCCTAGTAGTACCCTGATGTTTAGACTACCACAGAATATAGACAGTGGTCAGGCATGTTTCAAATGGCAGAATTTTGGACTCGAAGACCTCTTACACTTCATGGTAAAACAAGAATATTTAAAAGGGGGGGGGGGGGTGGCAGAACCAAGAGCTGGCTGGGGTTCCAACTTAAAATGATCAAACACAGTACATTTATCTGGCAGATCTGTCAATTTATACCTGACCTGATGTCAAGTTTCATGCATGTTGCTCTGGGGAAAGTTATTGAGATTTGGCCAAATGTATATATTTAAATCTTTTAGACTTTGCTGCTCAAGCCTAAATCTGTCGGAATGTTTTATTATGTGTATATATTACTGAATTTCCTGTCCTGATTTGAGTTTTCGTATCTGCATTATTTAATTGACAATTCCACCCAGAATAAGTATTTATTTTGGGGTAGCCAAAAGAAGACTAAATTACCCAACTGCTTTCCTTTTCTCTTGGTACCGAGTTAGTAAGATCTTTGCACTAGATATCCATTTTTTACCCACTTCATGTGGCATCTTTCTCAAAAGTATCCTTCTTTATCCCCGCTGAATGTAAAGAGGGCTCCTAATACAAAAAAGGGTGCTTCCGATGTGAAATGGGGGCTCCTGATGTGATGGGGCATCATACTGTGAAGGAGGGGGGAATTATGTTGTGAAGAGGGCTCATGATGTGAAGGGGGCCTCTGAGGTGAAAGAAGGGGGCTCTGATGTGAAGGGTGGCTCCTAGTGTGAGGGGGGACTCTGATCTGAAAGGAGGGGGCTCCTGATGCTAAGAGGGCACCTAATGTAAAGGAGGGCTCTTGATGTAAAGGGAGACTCTGATGTGAAAGGGGGCTAGTTAATTTAAGGGAGGACTCTGATGTGAAGCCAGCCCAAGTTTTTTTGTGTTTTTGCATGGGGACCCTCTTAAAATCCATGCCATACCCTTTCTGAGATAAGGGTCTGATAAGGATTTTGGAAGGGTCACACATCTTTTTTTCATTTAAGCAGACTGCGCTGGCTCAAGATTTTGCATACTTTTAAAGGGTGCCATAACTGAAAAAAGGTTGAGAAACACTGACCTAAGCTAATTGGAGCTAATTGGAAAATAGACAATACTGAAGTATAACTTCTGAATGGACTAATACTTGAAGATGAAAATTATGTAAGAATAAACACATATGGCTTTGGTCAAAGCTAAAGTTTACTGTATTTCCAATTTAACATCAGTGTTGGCTCAAATCAGACTTATAACAAAGCCCACATTTTAGTTATTAAGTTTTGGATAGAGTAGAAAATGGTTAGAACATCTGGCAGTTTTTTGAGAGTAAGGAAGGCAACAGGAACTTGGAGGAAATTTCTCACTGTCCCTGGAACAGGCATCCGCATTAGAGGAATTACGCTTAGCTCTGGTTTTAGTGGGGTTTCTTTTAATTTATTTCTCAGTGACAATGGTCACAAGTACAAATAGGGGTGAAACTCCCTAATGTAGACTCTGACAGAACACTTAAAAATTTGACAGAGGGTCTAACCTATCCACACTGTATACAAAGCAGAAAAGGGTAATGCCTAGAGATACACTTTATTTTTTAAATAATTTTAAACTATATGCAACTATGCTATCAATTAATTAATAGCTTAATCAAGATAGTCTAGTTTATTTGTGAAATAAGTAATGCTGACATTGCATTTTCTCATCTTGATGTGACAGAACTTATTGAATACAGCTTAACATGCTTAACTATTACTAAAAGCATTCCTGTATTTTCTTGTAATAGCAAATTTTGGAAATGGTCAATCATTTTATTAGCAAACAGATTTATTTACACTTAATGGAAAGGCGTGAGTTAATCAGATGAGCTCAGTGTTTAGATTGCTAGGAGGCATACCAAACCCACTATTGAGGCACAATGATGCACAGTCAACTCTGTGACCAAACCCACGTACTGGGAAATATAAAAGGGGAAGCTTATTTACAACCTTCACTGAGCCATTTGCTCTTTGTTTTTAACTCATCTTCAGAAAACAAAGATCTACCAAGAACCATGTCTGCATCTCGCCAAATGACATACTCTGTTGGAGGAGCAAAGAAAAATGTCAGCAGTGCTTCTGTTTGTCCAGCTGGGGCAAACCGAAATAGCTTCAGCTCAGTTTCTGTCTCTCGCTCAAGCAGTGGAGGTGTTGGTGCTGGCCATGCTGGCTCTGGTGGCTTTGGTAGCAGAAGTCTTTATTGTTTGGGAGGAAGTAGAAAAATTTCCATTCCTACAGGCTTACAATCCCAGTCTGGAAGTGGTTCTGGGTATGGAGCTGGTGTCGGAGCAGGCTTTGGAGTAGGTTCTGGGTTTGGCATTGGTCAAGGATTCGGTGGTAATTCTGGATTTCCTGTATGCCCACCAGGGGGGATACAACAAGTTACTGTCAATCAGAGCCTCTTAGCACCTCTCAATTTGGAAATTGACCCACAAATTCAAAAAGTGCGTACAGAAGAGAGGGAACAAATCAAGACTCTAAACAACAAGTTTGCATCCTTCATAGATAAGGTAAGTACATTTATTTAAAGAAACATGTCAATGTATTTTACAATCTCTAGGACTTCCTACTTTTGCTAACATCTGTTATACCAAGAGCTGTTTTTCCAAATATCAATTGTAGTGCCACCTACTAGTGAAATATCGCATTGCATTATGGCTGTAATGGTTTTGTATGAGAACCAGTATATTCCTATGTTTGAACTTAACTTCTTTACATATTGTAAATAGACAAACTGTTGTTTATAGGGGAAATGTTTCAGGTAGGGGACCCTCCAAATAACTACTGAGAAAATCCTATTAAATACAGATTTTCTATTAAGATTAGCTATTGCCTTTATACCATACAAATAATTTTTCTCAGTTTATACACCGTAGCAAATGTATTTCTTCTTTTTACCCTCCAGGTTAGATTCTTAGAACAGCAGAACAAGGTTCTTGAAACAAAATGGAAGCTTTTGCAAGAGCAAGGTGTCAAGGTTGTGAAGAATAACATTGAGCCACTTTTTGAAGCCTATATTAACTCACTAAGGAGACAGCTGGACAGCCTAGTAAATGATAAGGCCCGTCTGGATGGAGAGTTGAAACAAATGCAAGATGCTGTGGAAGAATTCAAACACAAGTAAGTCAATGAGATATAGAAAAATTACACCTTATGTAGGGCTGCATTTAGAGAACAGAGGTCTCTCTAGGCACATACCTGTATTACCGATTATTAGGGTTGCACAGATACCAAGTACAGTACTCGGTACAAGTACAAGTACATGTACCGATACTTCTGAGCTCCAAGACTAGACTAGAGAAAAATAAAAAAATGAGGAGGCGGCTGTCATTTGTAAGGAGCACACGGAGCTCCTGGGATTTGCACATCTCTGTTTTAATGTATAATTTTGTTTTTATAAATATAAATAAAGTGATGCACAGATACCAGTTTTGCGAGTACGAGTACTGGTATTTGCCGAGTACTTACAAGTATGAGTACTGATACATTTTTGTTTATTGTCATGTGACAGTTTTTCGAAAACAATACAGACTAATAATTTCAGGACAGTGGTGGAGTGCCAGAGCCCGTCCCCAGCTGCAACCGCTGCAATCCTGGTAGTTCTCATGAAAATGCCAAGTATCTGCACTGGTATTCGAAAAGTATCTGTGCATCCCTACCGATTATCCTAAGATTTGCACCATAAAAATACAGGCCATTTGTACCCTCATTATTTGACATTCAAGCAGAGGAAAAGCAGCGGCAGGCTTTTTTTTTGCTCAATAGATATAATTGCCAAGATACAAGACTCAGGTTAAAGTGGTACATGTATTATATTTTTGTCAGTCAAGAGCAATTGGATGTAATCAAGCAACTTTAGCTTTACATGTACTGGATATTTAAACTTGGTTAATTAGTAATTTAATTACATGAATTAATTTCTAACAGGTATGAGGATGAAATTAACAAGCGCACAGCAGCTGAGAATGAATTTGTTGTACTCAAGAAGGTATATATAAAAGGGTTATGGTATTACATTACATGTACTACTACATGATTAGAAGTGTCATGGATATGAATTAATGTATTACTCTGTGCTTACCATAGGATGTGGATATTGCCTACACAAACAAGGTGGAACTAGAATCCAAGGTGGCTGCTTTGACAGATGAGATCAACTTCCTGAGGGCACTATATGAAGCGGTAATTATCAGTTATTGCTATTACATAGACTTAATACAATTCCTGACACATGCTACATTTAAAGACATTGTACACGCATTGCCATTTGTTACAAATTCAAATATGACACATTTTGAGCTCCTAACACTGAATGTAATGCTTGAAGGTTTCAGTGCAGAGTCTCCCTCACCCGACCGTCCTTGTAACTCTAATACTAACCTTCACACTGAGCATCCCTGTCACTTCAACACTAAATTTCAGTGTTCTTCCTGTAACCCTTACCTTCCCTTCTCTAACTCAACCCCTTATTTGCATATTTAGTCTCATTCACTCACATTCTCTCTGACAAGCACCACATTTTTTATGTTCAAAGAAATAGTGGCACCAAGCTTCTGATAGCAGACACCACTAATTTGTAAAACACTTGCATTTGGCAAGGTGACTCTGAGCATGACTCTTTATATAAATCAGTAGTTTTGTGGTTTTGGATGCAGCTTGTGTCACATAGGTAGTGCTCTCCCAACTGTTACAGAATGAAATAACTTTGATGCCTGAATAAATCACTTGTCAGCATTTGAGGTTGATGCAACAGGCAGGCTACAATGGAAACAGGTATGGGCTTCTGGGTAAGATGTAATTGACAGCAAACTCCATGAGCAAAAAGCTCTCTTGGTGAAAGCATAAGAGGGATTGGAGTGACTTTAGTATAGAGAATATCTTTTCTAGTACATTTGATTAGCAAGTATTTTTTTACATAAAGATTCAATGGTGTGATACCTTACATTCCTCTACTGCTACCTTCTAGCAGGGTAGATTTCTGATCCTGTTTTTTTACGGAGCAACTTGACATTTTGAAGGTCATATAATAGTCCCTAGACACTGTAATAATACTACTTTTGTTTCTTGCCATGATTTTAGGAACTCGCCCAGATGCAGGGCCAGATTTCCGATACTTCAGTTATTCTCTCAATGGACAATAACAGAAATCTAGACCTAAACAGTATTATTTCTGAAGTCAAGGCTCAGTATGAGGAGATTGCCAACCGAAGCCGGCAAGAAGCTGAGAGCTGGTATCAAAACAAAGTAAGTTCAAATAATTTCTATTACTTAAGTGGAGCTTTGTTTGACCTAAATGTTTTCGATTTAAATGTGCTCTTCAGAGCCTCAGCCTCTCTCCCTTCACTCTGGTGGTCCAAGGTCCTGTGAGCCATCACATCCCATACAGTGTATAGGACATAAGGACACCAAGGGACATTTCATCGCTGGAGTGGAGGAGAAGAGAGGCTTAAGGGACCAGTCTAATAGCCAGCTATTTCCGAGGTTCAGGTGAGTATTTCGTTTTTATTTTAGCTCCTATGCGAAAATAAGCATTTACCCTTGCAGTGTGGGGATAGCCCCACTACAAGGGTTAACCATATTTCTACCCAGAGTTCTTTGATGTAATTTCAGAAGTAATTTCCATTTAATATAATTTCAGAAGTCATTTCCATTGATTATTTTCATGTAGCTTTCATTAAAATAATACTTAGGGATCCTGTTGTGAAAGTCCTTGTTCAGGCACTTCCTGAAATATTGTGACAACCCTCAGCTGTTGTCTCCCATTTGCTACTCCTGTGTTGTAACCCTGCCATATGAACTTCTGGAGGAGACTATAAGGGGCTATGACGATGCTAAACTGCTGGTAAGTTTCACTGTTGTCACCATCATGGCTCAGAACAATGACATGTAGCTGCAGCTGGATTACATGTATGTAGACTGGAAGGAGTTACAAAGAAGCTGGAGGAGATAAGCAGCAATAAGATGTAGCAAAAGAAAAAAAAATATATTTTAATAAACAAAAAAACATGAAAATTACCGGTATTTATGATATACGGTGTGTTTGCAAACTAAATGTCTAAATGGTTTATATTTATTATATACTTTATATTTAAAATTGGGCAATAAAAAGCCCCCTTCTTACTTGCCCTACACAAATTTTTTTTTTAGATTTGAGCCTCACCATGCAGTCATTTCTAAGATCTTTGTTTAACTCTGTAGCAGTTGAAAGTGAACATTGTGCAGTTTTGATTGGAGCATAATGTAAAAACAAAATAGTTTTCCAGTAGCATTTACAATGAAAGCTTTAACAACATGTAGGTCAGGGGCAGATAGCAATAGCAGCTCACTTTTGTTATATAAGAACTGCCTGTAGTTCCCCCTTAAAAGCCTACAATTGAAAATAACAGTTGAAGAGACTCAGTGGAGAAGAGCGACAGTTCTGTTTAAGAAATGTTTACAAATAAAGCTCTAGTCAGGTTACGCAAATCAAGTGACACTTATTTGTGTATCACTCGACTTAGATCCTCAAATCATCTCTGAATTCATGCTGACACTGTCCTTCCTTCTGGATGGTGGCTACTGTTGTTCCCCACAGTGCCTGTGTGTTGTAAAGTATCCACTACTCCAAGCTCACTCTCATAATGGACTACAACCTCACTAAAAATGAGTAAACTAAACATGAGATTGTAGTCCATCACAGGAGTGAGCTTGGAGCGGTGACTACTTTACAACACACACAGGGACCATGGGTAAAAAAAGTAGCCGCCCTCCAGAAGGAAGGACAGTGTCAGCAACAATTCAGAGATGATTTGAGGATCTACAGCCGAGTGATACACAAATAAGATACATTTTTGTTAATAGTTAAGGTACTTGAATGCATTTTTAAGATTTAACTACTGAGTTTAGTGTCACTTTAAAGCCTAACTTGTTGAGTAGTAACTAGTTTGAGTAGTTACCCCACTGCAGCCCCCCTTCCCTTACCCACCCCTTCTCTATTGAAGCCTCCCCCACTTTAAACAAAAGTATACATAACTTTTTATATAGGTCTTCAGTCTGGGCATGTGATGTCACAGTTCCTCTTCCTGCTCTTCTTCTTTGGGCATGTGCTGGTCTTTGAATGTTGCAGACAGTGGTGTCATATGATGCTGTAGTGCTGCTTTCTGCAGCATTTTCCTATGAGACCAAGCTGGCTTGATGACGCGACCCTGGGGCGCGTGTCCATGATGCCCAGTCCAGTCGAACTCCAGCTTCTCTGTTTATTCGATGTGTCCATGATGACCGTAAGTTGGATAACACTGGGCATGTGACCTTTTATGGTGTAGCCATAGCAGAGGGAATTATTGCCAAACTCTCATCCTGCTTGGCTGTGGGAGTTTTCATTTTAAAAGGAAACTGGAGTTCTGCTTCAAGGTATGTGGGTGGCCCAACCCTATCCTTGTCAGTCAGACATCTTCTCCATTGTTGATAAGATAGAGTGCCTGCAGTATTGTGCATATTGTTGGGGTTTTATGAATCTGTTTATACCTGAAGCTAGTACAGTGTCTGTAGATACTATTTGGTAATAGGTACAGCACCAATGTCTTTTGCACACAAAAGACTTGGAAGAGAATGGGGAAAATTTTAATGAGGCTTAAGATCAATTTGTGGAGCTATATTCATCTTATTGCACTTAGATATCAAACATACATTTTCCTATAGGTTCTACCAGTTGTGTTTCCACAGTAAAATTTTTTGTTAATTTCTGCATTCTAAATTTTTCAATTGTCTGCAGTATGAAGAGCTCCAGGTCTCTGCTGGAAGACACGGTGATGATCTGAAATCCACAAAAGCTGAAATTGCTGAGCTGAATCGCTACATCAACAAACTTCGTTCTGAAATTGACAGCGTGAAGAAACAGGTACATTAAAAGCAAAAACTTTACAGATCTTTATCTTTCAAAAAACTGTCAGATGCAAAACCATTGGCAAGAAGAAAACTACTTATTATTCTGTCACTGGGTTTATAAAAGCTATTATTATAAGAGAATTTCCCTGTAAGAAACATGCCACTTTTCTATTTTTCTTAGGTGAAAAACGTAAAAAAATGTATTTTGTGTAGTAATTAGTGGCCTACCTAGTGTATTAGGCACCTTGGGGTGGATTATTTTTAAACACTTTATCTCTATAGGTCAAAATTATTTTTAGAAATAATTATGAAATTAAACAAATATAAATTGTATTTTTCTGGAAATTTTATATATCATCATGACAATGAAACAATAAAATAAAATTCAAGGGTTTAATAGCAGTGCACAGCGGCATAGTGGCGTGCTTTAATAGTGACAGCCTTGCAGGGTATTTCACTATAATAATTTAGTGCTCTAAACAGCAGTGATTTGACAATATGCAGGCAAAAACATCAATCCTGACAATATATCAGCAACAAATGGTAAATTGTGTTCTCAACTTGTATGCCACAGGCTCCCCTCCTCTCTCGTGCAACTGTCGGGCTCTCGGTCCATGACCGAGTACCCCACTTTTCAGACAGGGTGACACCAAAATGACCGTCAGGTACTCCACTGGTAGTAATTACAAAGTTTTAGTAAGGACTTTTGGGCATTTTTCCTGGGACTCTTGGTTGCCACACATTTTTTTATCTGCAAAGTACTCCACAATTTATTTTAAATGAATAACTGAGTTGTTAAAATAATCTGTTATGCTTGCAAAGGATCAAATTGAACTATTGCAGGAAGCAAAGAGCAGCATGCCATTTCCTGAAAATTGCATTGTCTATGATGCCCTTGAACAATAGTGTTTATTTTACAGGCATGGCAAATTGTGACATTTCATATTTTAAACAGATTTTGATGCTTCTTTGTCTATGTTTGATGCCATTAAAGGGGTCCTTTTCTTACGTTCTTTATTTGTACACACAGTGTGCCAAACTACAGACTGCAATTGCTGATGCTGAACAGCGTGGTGAGCTTGCAGTAAAGGATGCTAAGCAAAAGCTTTCAGGACTAGAAGATGCTCTGCAGAAGGCCAAGCAGGACATGGCTCGCCAACTGAAAGAATACCAGGAACTGATGAATGTCAAACTGGCTCTGGATATTGAGATCGCCACCTACAGGAAACTGCTGGAAGGAGAGGAGAGCAGGTACTGAAAAAAGGGACTTTATTGTATGCTGTGGACTGGATTAACAGTGACTGGTAGTGGCAATGTATGTTGTTACTCTTACTGGGTCTACCATCCTGTACTATATAGAAAGAGTTGGGTTAAAACTAGAAAATTACTTTACTCTATTATTTGTGTAAAGCAAACTGTTGAGTCATTACTGTATACTTTTGGAATCATATGTACATATTCTTTTAATTTTTTTTTTTTTATACAGGTTGGCTGGAGAAGGTGTTGGCCCAGTAAACATATGTAAGTTGTACTTTTAAGTGTGCTATTATTTATAGGAAAATAAGTAAATAAAAGTGTGTATATCTCTATCTATATATCTA